ACACACACACACACACATATACGTGTTTGTGTTGACTAAATATCCAATCATGTATCCTCTTTTATGCACAAACACATCTCTTTGTCATTACACATCACTCCAGTTTAAGGCCTGAGCTATACCTATACACTGCATGCGCCCTCAGTACACTCAACTCTCAGGCTTAACGTGTGTACACATATATATAAAAACCAGTGCGTGTGTGTTCATTGCTTCGGCTTCTGTGTAAAAATTATCATCCACTGCATATAAGCAGACAATAACACCAAATTGAATGAGCATACTACAATATATGCACGTACGCAGCAATCTTATTTACTTTTTACTTGAAGCGGGAAATTTACGGACGGTTCAGATTCTCTTTTTACAAAGTAGTGAATGAGAAATTCCCTTAGAGAAAAAAGTCGTGGATAAAGAATTAAGTAAATGTAATTAAAAATAATTTTCTACAATTAGCCAACTTTATACGTCGTCGTTTTTCTTTGTAAATGTAATCCCAAAATGCATGCGGTAATTAAAAATAATTTTTTGAGCAAGAAGTAAATAATTATAAAGTAAAAAAAAAAAGAACAGAAAAGTTTAATTTTTACTCTTGAAGTTTTTTTCTTTTTTTTTTTTTTATTTATTTATTTATACTAGGGAAGTGAACCGAAAACGTGTAATCCAATTTATAGATACGAAATTTGTCGGGACTCCATTGGCAAATATATTATATATATAAAAAAAAAAAGGCTCCACGTGTAACCTTCTGATTCTTGGATTACTTTACACAATTTTGTTATAAATTGTCAAAATTATTAATTGAACATTATACATGATTATTTATATAATTAGGAAAATAGTTCTATTAAAATTAAATTAATATAATAAAAAATTTTCAGTTCAATAATTATTATATATTAAGTTATTGTAAAAAAGAATTCGGTGTCGTTTTGAGAGGCGGCTTTTGTGGGTATTCAGATTTTCCCTCCAAAAACAATTTAAGTAGAGGTGGTGCACCTGACAAAAATAGGACGTGGTACTGTTAAGGCGCTAGCTAGGCTTATTTGCTGGGATTCCCCAATTTTCAAGTTAAAAAAAAAAAACCTTTGAAAATGTAACTTCAAAAATTATAAGTTAGCCCACAATTATTGTTACTACCCAAAAGTTTTCTTTTTAAAGTCTCATATTACATTACAAGCTGGTAAAGATCAAATATATTGACCAAAATAGAATCTTTATAACATTTAATTATTATTATTATTATTATTTTGTTTTATAAAAGATCAAACTTTTGGGGTAAAAATTTAATTTTTAATTTTATTAATTCTTAATTTAAGACGCTACCTTAAATTATTCTTTTAAAAAAATTGAATATTGTTTCCTGATATATAAATTTATTCTTTAAAAATTGAAATACAAAAACTATTATGTAATAGATTATAGGTGGAGACTGACTATTCACAACAATTAAGTAATAATTAAATTAGACATCTAATCTAAAGTGAATCAAACTCTACCTTGTAGACCACTCAATAACATTTTGTAATAAGTTATTATAAATGACGAAATAATTAAAAATAATTATGAAAAGGTTATTATTAAGTTCGAAATTATAATTTTTAAGTTTTAGTTTAATTATTATATACAATTATTTAATATTAATACTATTTTTCATTTAATTTACAATATTTTAATTAGTAAATTGTCAAACATCGAAGAAACAGTTTATTTATATTCTAACGCTCCAAGACAAACACAGAGTAAAAAACACAATAAAGAAAATGGCGAAGCGTTTCAAGCTCAATATTGCTCGAGTCTTCTCCAAGTCTTTCCGGTCTTGCCGTTCCAAAGACCCTTCATCCCTCCCAGCAAATCCTGTCCCTTCGTTCCTCCGACTTTCACCGATCAGTACTAATACGACGTTGCAGCCGGCGCCGCCAACCCCACACTCCATTAAACCCCATCGTTCCTCCCTGAAGCGACACGTGTCTTCCGCCTTAACATCTATCGGCTGCGGCCTTCGATCGCGATCCTCCACGCAGTGCCCCTCGGAAACTGACCACAGCGAATCACCGCCCCCGCCGACACCGCAGTTCCACTGGGAGAAACACGACAAGTGGCACGTGATCGCCAATTGTTACGACGAGGCGCAAACACCTCGCCGGAAGGTATACAGCTCGTTGATCTCCGATGACGACGTTTCACGACCTCTTCCTCCGCCACCTCCTAGCGCCGAGAAGAAAAAACGACGATCCACGAAGAAGAAAACGGCCGCAAAGACACGCATCAGCACGTCTTCGGCAGATAGCGTGTTGTTCAGCAGCGAAACCTTGGATGACATGGACGACGAAGAGACGGAGACGCTGGTCTCATCTTCTAGAGGCTTCTCAACGGACTCCTCGTCGGAGTTCAATGTTGGTATAGGACGGAGTAAGAAGAGCAAGAGATCGAAAGGGAAGGGTCCAAAACGGTGCTGCGGGATGAAGGGGAAGAGGAGGAGCTGGACGTCGGCCATATCATCGTCTTCGCCGGAGAAAGAGTCACCGGCAAGGCTGTCGATGTTCCTGCAGAGGATGATAGCTTGCACGGTGGAGGGAAAAGTGAGAGAGAGTTTCGCAGTGGTGAAGAGATCGGAGGAGCCGTACGAAGACTTCAAGAGGTCGATGATGGAGATGGTGTTGGAGAAGGAGATGTTCGAGGGGAAGGATCTTGAGCAGCTGCTTCAATGTTTCTTATCGCTGAATTCAAGACAACACCATGCCGCCATTGTCAGAGCTTTCTCCGATATTTGGGAGGCCTTGTTTTGTAACAGTAGTACTGTTACTGCTATGGGTAGAAGATCATCGTCATCGTCATCCTCTGTCCATGGAGTTTCTAGTTATAAACCTCTCTGTAATATCCAATCATTTTAAGTAAATTTATCCTTTGAAGTATTACTTTAATCCGTCATTAATGTATGATATACTACTAATGTTATCAATGTTTATCTTGGTATTTACTACTGGATATTTTTCGTTTCACTTAAATCTTTTTAATTTCTTGTTTATCTATAATACGTTCAAATCATTGAGGATGTTGACTAATCATCATACCTATATATTAGGGAGGAGGTGGGGGAGGATATCGTGTTACTAGTTTCTTTAGTGGAATATGAAAGAAAGAATTTAGATGCATATACACCTGTAATAATGTTATATACATATACACAATGAACACATGATGATTAAATTAATTACTCGCTGTTTACATGCATGCCTGAACTACTTTCATTGTTGGATCTTCATCATTTGCAAGCTATATTTAGAAGTAATTTTTCAGGTTCATTTTCAGTACCCATTAAAGTGTTTGTATGTGCATATATATATATATGTATATGTACGTAATACTGTCTTGGATCATATCCAAATCAATCATTTTAATTTGGACAATCCATTATTAAATATTTAATTTTATGATATGATAAACATACTCACTTTAATTCTATTTTATCTAGTAAATCTTAATCCGAATTTTGTAACATATGCATACAAATACATTTGAAAAAACACACACAAAGACACATATATATATGATTAAAGGGAACAAGTTAAAGAAATCTCACCGCCTCGCACGGAGATTATTATTCCCCTAGGGCAAATAATACTCACCATGGACCACTTGAGAATAAGACTCTCTCCATACTTTAATCGTTAATAAATAAAAATAATTTATATATATATATATATATATATAGAGAGAGAGAGAGAGAGAGAAAGCAGTTTAGCCACAGGATTAGATATACTCGTGAAGCGTGCAAATCTATCAATTCAATTCTGATTTGTGGATAATGAGTAGAAAGTCAGTGTTTCCCTGTCCATGTTACATGCTTCTCGCCATTTCGTAAACATTACGTTAAATTCATGTCTCCTTCTTTTTACCTTTTTTAAATTGTTTGATTTTTTACTGCTGTATGTTTATAGCAAGCCCTGACGATCACTCACACTCCACCACAGATTCGTCCCTGTATACATATATACAAATTCTCATTCTTTATATTTAATATATTACTTTAGTATATTATATATATTTAAAAAAATTATATAAATTTTTTCACCCAAATACATAATAGATTTGCTGAAATTTAATTCAAACTAACATCACGAACACTAACAAGTTTATTGAGTTAAACATTACATAACAATAATTAACAGCTTAACATACTCGTTAAATAATGAGTTTTTAGTGTTTAATAAAGCTCAAACTCGATTATGTTATATTATATTAAAAATCATATTGTTTTTTTTTTAATATTTAGTTTTCCTCAAATGAATCTTTTAGTACATCTCTAATTATTGAAATATTAATTTTAATTTTTTATTTCTAATTATTCATTATTAATTAGTATCAGACTAAACAATATTAAATAATAAATATAGTAGAACAAGAATAAATATGAATAATAAATGATAAAACTGTTGGAAGTTTCCTTAATACTAATGAGAATTTTACAGTTAAAAAATATAATTAAAAAATAATTAGTAGATGACAATTTTGTAATTGTAGTTATTGTATTTAAGGTATTAATAGGTTTCAGGTTTGAAGACAATGGATAGTAATAATTGTTTTTATTTCTTCACCTAATAAATGCTATATTTGTTTATATTTATAAATGTCTTTAAGAAGAATTTAGAAATTTTTTACTTTTCTAGATTTTCTATAATGTAGAAATGTATTGTAATAACAAGAGGATATGGGCGAACAACAAAAACATATTGTAACAACAAATCAATAATTGCACTAAATAAATATTTAATGTTTTAAAAGTTGGACAAAATATATTATGATAAAATATTATTTTATACCAGAAATAATCACGGAGAAAAAAGTCGAGTTCAAGTATTACAAGATAAAAAAATCAATTGGCATCTTTACAAAAAGCAACACCACAAGCGAAGTTCAAAGAATTGCAAACTATGTTTAAAATCATAAAAAAGCATTAGAATGAGTGTTAAATTCATGAAGTTATTCTAAATTATATTAGAGTATTATAGAAAAATCTAACAACTATACCATCTTGAGTGATTCAAATTTTCTTTTTAAATTAAACAACTTGATTATACATATCTTTTTTGAGTCTTGAAATTCTTCTAGAAGCAATTCTTATGCTTCTTTAGCTATCATTACTCCAACTATCATCCGAAAAATAGCTCTAATACAATTGAATGAACGAAAGTAACTATCTTGTATATTTTGATATGTAAGTAATAATGAGATATAGTATATTAATTTTTTTTTTTAACAATTTCTCATAAGTTATAAGTTAGAGAAAAACTTTCATGTTGGTTTATTAATAATCATAATTTTCTACTATGACTGTTAATGATGAAGGAACTGATAAATTTGCAAAAGCATACTTGATTCAAGCTTTTATTATGGCCGCTTAATAAGAAAAGCTTTTGGTACCACTTATTAGAATTTGCTTGCTACTATTTTAGATGCATAAAATTTATAGCTAAAAAAGTAGTTTAAACATAATTTGTTAAATTTAAGTAAGATATGATGATTTGTAGTTCTATATGAGTGTTGATATATTTTAGATTTAAAGACAAGGAATAGTAATATATATATATATATATAATATTTTTTCTATCTCACAAATGATGTCTTTATATATATATATATATATATATATATATATATTTATAGATGTCTTAAAGAAGAATCTAGAAACCTTTCTTTTTCTACGTTTTTAATAACCTTTTATATAACGTTTTATTCATTTATCTTTTTTAGAATGTTTTATCACCTTTTACAATTTTTTTACCATCTTCTAAAATTTTATAGAGTGTTTCTTGATTTTTTTAATAATCTTTTAGTATAACATTAAAAAAAAAACCATTACTTCAATAAAAACTCATAAACTTTTATATATATATATATATATAATGATTTAGTAGTGAGAATACTAATCTATAAATCAACGCTTTATTAAGAAACTAACTCTTCAATTATCATTATTTTTATACTTTAATTCAAACGTTCTTGTTTTTCACAAGGGCATCAGCTTTTTGGTTATGTCGGAGTGAAAACTAATAGTTAAATAACTTTTGTGATATGAAAACAAAACTGATAAAAATAAAGAATATATAATATATTACTTATGTAATATCCGACTCCGAAATTTGATTCGAAATTAATTTTAAAAATTAAAATTAATATATAAAAATATAATTTTTAAATTTTTAAATTTTTATTTAATGTAAAAATTAAAAAAAAAATAGATGGAAGATGAAATTAAAAATAATTTTGAAAAAAATGGGTAAAAATTTGGGTTCGATGAGTATTTTTGAAAGAAAAATCCGAAACTAAATGTAACACCATTTTATTTTTATTATTTCTATATAAATATAAATATGTATTAATTGAATTGAATTGAATTTAATTTATTTTAATTTGATTAAATGAAAATAATAGTAATAATAAAAATAAAAAAGGTAAAAAAATAATTGAGGATTTAATTGAAAATAATTTTGGAAAAAAATGGGTAAAAATTTGGATTCTGGGGATATTTTTGAAAGAAAAATCGGAAAACAGAGGTTAAAACGCAATTTAGAAAAAATATGCCACATCAGCTGCCCGGTCAGCAGCCACGACCAACCAGGACACGCCAGGTGGCAGATACACTGACGCGGGAGGCCATGTGGGTGATCCGCGTGCGCGCGATCGAACGGCTGAGATCTGTTCCCGCGTGCACAGACAGCCCAGATCAAAAACGCGCACGGACGACCCAGATAAAAAACGTGCACGAACGGCCCAGATTGCATCGCACACGAACGGTCCATATTGAATAGCGATGAACGGTCCAGATTCGTTCTCTATTTAATCGCGATCGGACGGTCTAGATTAAAACCGATGGACGACTCATATCAAAAGCGGATAGGTATAAATAACCACATTCACACCCAAACCCTAACCCTAGCAGCCAGAGCCCCTCACCGGAGAAGACAGCCCAGCCGCCGAGGAGCCAACCGCCGCCACCCGCCGTCGCACCGGAGCAATTTCCGACTGCTAAACGAGGTAAAACTTCTACCCTTTGCTCAGAATTTGATTTCAAACACACCCACGGCCAAATCAGAGTGAAAGAACCGACCAATTGGCCGAAAAACGCCGCTGAAGCTCAGTAGTGCCGCTGCGGGGTGTTTCAATTTTCGCCTCCGATGAGACCCTTCCCGATTCCTGTTCGATATGATTTTTCTACTGTTGTGATCACCGTTTCCTTCTCTGGAGGTTGACCAGAGCAAAACACCCAACCGCAACATAAGCCGGAGGAACCACCGCATCGGAGACCCCCACCGCCAGTGAGTTTCACTCTTCTACGTTTTTTCAGCCCACTTAGGGCCCTAAGTGTGTTTTCTCATAGGAACCGATGCAAGTTTGGCTGAATTCGGTCGAAAACAGCCGAAAACAGTCAACCCGAGACAGATCACCGTCGCCAGAGCACGACGGAGCCACCGTGCCAGATTTTTAAAATTGGCCGAGTAGGCCTTGAGACTGATTTTAGATTATTTGGGACATTTGTAGGTACTGTAAGTGCATTTTAGTTCCCGAAAAAAAATTCAGGGACCGCCCATAGGCACAGTAACTATTTAGCTTTTCGACGTCAAATCAAGTAAGGACCCCTCACCCTATTTCCTATCATGGAATTGAAGTTTGAATAAATGATAATACTGTATTTTGTACAAATTAAATAGATATGCATAATTAATTAAGGTTGCTAATGGAGCCCGAACCGGACATTATTCTCTATCGATTTTTGCTTGATTTATTTTACAGTTTACATGCATTACGGTATCTGGTTTATCTATTCTATGGTTTTAAATGCATGTATTACTGTCTTACTTGACCACTGTGTGATTTTAGAATTTAAGATATGATTGTATTACCGGGTGCAT